CGCGGCTGGCCGACCCATCAGGTCCTGGCTCCTGGAAGTTTCCAAGGAGAAGGACTTCCCTTAGCTTACCTTCAGGTTGTGCCGTTGCTCACTGTTTCAGACACAACCTTGCGTTGACTGAAATACAGAAGAATGTTTGGATTTCTGCACCCCTCCCCTCTGGAGCACATCTTCAAAGGTCTCAGCCCTCACCTTGGCTCCTAGGGACTTGGCCCAGATCGCTTTAGGCTGAGCTAATTTCATGAACGAAGCCCCCTCTCTGTGGCAGAAGGGTGGGTGGGTGTTGTGGTGGCCTTCCCAACTCTTCTGGATGCTCTGAGCAGCCCAAATATTACCATGGAGTTTGTGGGAATGCAAACGCTGCCAACTCATTGGTTTGATTTTTCAGTGACACACTTGGGTAAGTCTGAGAAGGTCCCTTGTTTGTTAGGCTTCCAGTAAACTTCACAGCAGGGGCTAAAATAATCGGAGGTGCTTTGTGGTAGGTTGTTATGAAATTAGCCCAAATCAGGGGTGAAATAAGGTATTTGTGGCTATAAAAAGAGACCTGGAAGTGGAATGGGAAAAGGCGTCAAAAGATTACTAAGCTCCCGTTGACGAGATCGACCCAGAAGAACAGCAAATACAAAACAGAGGTTTTGTGTGCCCAGGCCAGAGCTGTCGCAGGGTGGATGGGTGGGATGTTTCATTTCTAACTTTCTAGTGAGGAAACAGACGGTGACATCCACTCTTGTAAAAAACCTGTGTGAGGGTTAACTTAATTCTGATCTGCCTGAAGGTTGGCTTAGTTCTGATCGTTTTGTCTCAGTTGCTTACAAAAACGGCACTTGTCATAAAGTTGGTATTTTGGATGTTAGTTATGTAAAATAAATCAAGGCTCTGCTTTTCAGAATTCATGCCTAATTTGAAGCAGCAGTTGTTACATGAGCATGTCTGAAAAAATTGGCTTTTGTGAAGTTGAACTGTAGGAATCTCCGGTAGATACGGAAGGAGAAGCGAGTATCTATATATACAGCTACTCATGATGAGTAGAGGGAGAGTTGCTTTTTGTGATTCTGCAAGACGTTTCCCCATTTCACGTGTTCTTTCTCTGCTAGAGAAAAAAACAGAGTGGACCCACAAGGTACACTAGAATTACATGTTCCTTGTGGGCCGGAGAGTAAGGTCATCTTGATTTGGAGCTTTCAGTTAGGAGGGAAATATTTTTATCCCGTAACAATCCAATATTCCTCTAGTAATGTGAATTCACTGTGCAGGTTGTAAAATGCTTCTGAATGATTGTCCATTTTGGTCAATTCAGTGCAGATTCCTCATCTTCATCCTGGTAGCTGCCCTGTGCTTTCGTGGGAATAGCGAGGACAAGGAGTTTCCCCTCAGAAAACCACAGAAATTCCAACGGCTTTGTTGAGGTTTCCGACCAATTCTTAAACGTGTTTATTTGTTTCTCTTTCGTTCCCCTTTGTAGTGCAGACTGACGGGCTGGATATCGGGCTAGAAACGTTCTGCTTCTTTTCTCAGTTCTTTAGTTCTGCTCCTGAAGTTCTCTGCCACCTTGCTGGAGAAGCTCTCCTGAGACATACAATTTATTGAGTAAAAAACAATTAGAGAAAATCCGCGGGTTGCTTCCGCGAAGGTCCTGAGGAGGCCAGACCGAACCTGTGCTGGCGCTGCCGGGGCTTTCCAGGGTGTAGGAGTTTTACATTTAATTCCAGTTGGCAGAAGGATCTCAGAGCTCTTCCTGAAAGATATTTTTGAAAAAAAAAACCAAACCCGTATTAGAAATCACACGGCGCTCCACAAGCTGTGCCGCTCAGGTGCTCCATGTAAGGCTGGGGCGTTAGAGGTAAGGCAGTCTCGGTGTTCTGTTTCCAGTGGCAGCTCGTTGTGCTAATGACTGGCGGGTGCAAGAGAGTGTTTCTTCCTCTTTACCCAGAGTCAGGAGGGACTTGGGTCAGTGAGCTGGGCTCATGCAACGTGAGTTTAAATTGATGCTAAACTTTGTAAACCTGCTCTTTCCTGTTGGAATGGCAGAGCAGCAGCGTGGAGCGTGCTTCAGCAGGTTCCTGGGCAGAGCTGGGTTTTGAGGGAAATCCCAGTAAAAGTGTATTGCCAAAACAAAAAATAATAACATAGATCTGTGTGTGAACAGCTGTGCTTGAGATATCTAAAGCAAGCGCGGTCGTCTTCAGCCTCCTCATGTAAATAGATCGTGAGCTCCAGCTGAGGAGGACGCTCGTGTTAGTCTGCCCGATCCTTTCCCAGAGGGCAGTCACGGTACAGGAGGAGAAGAGTGGGCTCCGAGGACTGAGTGCTCTGTGAAATATTTATAAGAAGTGATAGGGAAGGAGCTTAAACTCACCTTCAGAAGCCTGAGAAGGGCAAATCCTGGCAGGTGTCCACTTCACACCCTGATGTGCTCTGGTTGCTTGAGCATTAGATGAGGCGTAGTGTAGATGACTCCACTTTCCCAGCTTTCCCTTCTGCTCCCAGTGGAACATGAGTGGGGAATGCTGCTCCCTGGTTTAAGTGTGCTGGCAATAACCTGTACTAAAAAATATGAATGTAAGGTCGACGTTGTCCGGGCAGTTTTGCCTGGAGACACTGGCAGTTTTGGCCAGGGTTGACTCTGAACCTCAGCGTGCAAAGGGCCGGCCTTGGCAGGGCAGCAGCGGTGCCCTCGGGGCGGGGCAGGACATGGGCATCCTACGACTGCACCTTCACCTCGCTGCACTCAGGGGCTGGAAATATTCTGCTTTGTTGCCCACTGAGTTCTGAGCCCACCCCACTGGGGTAGTTCTCTCCCCTTGCTGGTTTGTTTTTGCCATATTTGCAGGCGTTGGAAGGCTGCGCTATGTTTGGCTGCTTTAATGATTTCCTTTGTAGGTGAAATCTTCTCTGTACCAAATTATTTTCACTTGATTCGTGACAGAAAGGGAAGGTAACGTCAGTTTTCCCAAGTGTGGAAATGCAGAATATTCGGGAGATGTGATGCCTGGAAGCGGACAAACTCTTTAGTGATTTTATCTTGAGTCCTCGCAGCTGCTGCAACCCAATTAAAGATCTATTACATTCCATAAGCAGGCTTCTTGAAAGTGACTTTGGAAGTATAATGAACAAGTGGAAAAAAGCATTTAGGCAGCATTCTGGGGAAGTGCTGTCAGTTAAGAAAACCCAGGCGTAAGTTTGAAACCGTCTGTGCAGGATGGTCCTGATGACACATCCCATCGCATGTGAAGGGCTGGTAATATAAGTGTCTCAAAAATATCGGAAGTTTTCGTCAATCTATAGAAGGTGTAAGAAGAGGCAACTCTGAAAATGCTGCCTTTATCATTTACAATCTCTTGAATTCGGTAGGCAGGTGAAGCACTTAAATCAAAGCCCTGGCCGATTCCCTTTGAAGAGCTTGAGCAACATGGAGAGAGCAAGCCTCTCTGTAGCGCTGGATTTTCAAAATATGAGATTTCAAACAAAAAGCCTGCATGCAAAGGGAATCAGTGGCAATGTGGTGTCGCGGGAGATGGTTTGGCGGTGAGCTCTGCAGGGCAGGGTTAGTGGTTGGATTCAATGATCCCAGGGGTCTTTTCCAACCTGAATGATTCTGTGATTCTATGATTCTATTTTTAAGGGTCAAGGAAAGGATCTCTACCAACTGTAAAGATGTGATTTGATATTAAGATTTTTTGCAGCAGAGCTTGTAGAAATGACACCGTTTGAGGGACAGGCTTTGGTAAACCAATGCTGTGTCAGGTCAGGCCTTTTGAAAGTTTTCGTGTCGTCTGTTATTTTCATTGTTTAAAATCCCTCCAACTTAGTGAATGCAAATCACTGCTTGAGTAAATGAGTCGAATCTTTAGCTCTCTGAAAAACTGTCACCTGCAGAAGGCCCTCACGTATTCCTCCTTTGTTTCTGTTTTAGGTTTCTAACACAGGATCATCCACCGATCGGCTCAGGCTGGCCACAGACCCGCTGTCATGTCTAAGTTAAAGAGCTCTGAGTCCGTCAGGGTGGTGGTGCGGTGCCGGCCGATGAATAGCAAAGAGAAAACAGCTTCGTATGAAAAAGTTGTTAACGTGGATGTCAAGTTAGGGCAGGTCTCCGTGAAGAACCCACGGGGAACATCTCATGAACTGCCTAAAACTTTCACCTTCGATGCTGTGTATGACTGGAATTCCAAACAGGTCGAACTCTACGATGAGACCTTCCGGCCTCTCGTCGACTCTGTTCTGCAAGGGTTTAACGGGACAATCTTTGCCTACGGGCAGACGGGGACAGGGAAGACGTACACGATGGAAGGGGTTCGTGGGGATCCTGAAAAAAGGGGCGTCATCCCCAATTCGTTCGATCACATCTTCACCCACATCTCTCGATCTCAAAACCAGCAATACCTGGTTAGAGCATCTTATTTGGAAATATACCAAGAGGAAATCAGAGACTTGTTATCAAAGGATCAGTCCAAGCGGCTGGAGTTGAAGGAAAGACCAGACACAGGCGTGTACGTTAAGGATTTGTCCTCGTTTGTTACGAAAAGCGTCAAAGAGATCGAGCACGTCATGAATGTGGGAAACCAGAACCGCTCCGTTGGTGCCACCAACATGAACGAACACAGCTCTCGCTCTCACGCCATCTTTGTCATCACTATCGAATGCAGCGAGTTGGGGCTCGACGGAGAGAATCACATCCGTGTCGGGAAACTCAACCTGGTGGACCTGGCAGGCAGCGAGCGGCAAGCTAAGACTGGAGCGCAGGGGGAGAGGTTAAAGGAAGCGACTAAAATCAATCTCTCCCTCTCAGCTCTGGGCAACGTTATCTCCGCCCTCGTAGACGGCAAAAGCACACACATTCCATACCGGGACTCAAAGCTGACACGGTTACTTCAAGACTCGTTAGGTGGCAACGCCAAAACTGTGATGGTGGCTAACATAGGCCCGGCCTCTTACAACGTGGAGGAGACTCTGACGACGCTGAGGTATGCCAATCGTGCCAAAAACATCAAGAACAAGCCACGCGTGAATGAGGATCCTAAGGATGCTCTGCTCCGAGAATTCCAGGAAGAGATTGCTCGGCTCAAGGCGCAGCTGGAAAAGCGGAATATTGGCAAAAGAAAGAGGAGGGAAAGGAGGAGAGAGGGTGGGGAGGAGGAGGAGGACACTGAAGAGGGTGAGGAGGAAGGAGATGACAAAGACGACTATTGGAGGGAGCAACAAGAAAAGCTGGAGATTGAGAAGAAAGCTATAGTTGAGGATCACAGCTTGGTAGCAGAAGAGAAGATGAGGCTGCTGAAAGAGAAGGAGAAGAAAATGGAGGACCTGAGGCGAGAGAAGGAAGCAACAGAAATGCTGAGTGCTAAAATTAAGGTAAAATTCTTCCTCATCAAACTGTCTGAAAGCCATTTATTTAGGCTGTGGGGAGAGCTGGGGGTTTCCCAGTTGGGAGAGCTGTTTCACAAGAAGTTCCAGGAAAGCGATTTGTGGTTAGCTTGGAGGATTTTCAAATAAACAGAAGTTGAAATTTCCACCGTTAATTACACGTTTCAATATTCACGAGTTGTTTCGTTGTTCTTATGTGCTGATCTTGTAGGATCTTAAGCAATCAGCACAATAAAACATGAAGATACGATACATCTTTTCAGAGGCCATAGCACAAAAAGCGCTAAATTGTGTCACAGATCATTAACAAGTTCTTTACAGGAGAGCACACGTCTCATTCTTCAGCTTTGCCACGCTGTTTCAGCGGTGCGTAATTCTAAGCAAGTTGCTATTTCATTAATCCCAGAGTTTTTTAGGAATTTCAATAAATTCTTGTAGCGGCTGACTTGAAAGAGAGTGTTAAATAATGGAGCTGCCCTGAAGAAATTGCATGAATGTGAGGGAAAGCTACATTCCGCGGTCACTGAGAGAAACTTCTGATCTTGTTTTTTTCCTTTCAGGCAATGGAAAGCAAACTGCTGGTGGGAGGGAAAAATATCGTGGATCACACAAATGAACAGCAGAAAATCCTGGAACAGAAACGACAGGAAATTGCAGAACAGGTACAAGGAAGAATACTGGTTATTTTGTAGAGCAAGCCTAGCTGCAGAACTTGTTTAAAACATGACATCAGGAGAAACTATAAGAGATGATTTTCCCAGGGTTAACCCTAAAATTGGGTGGCAATTATTTATCTCAAAAGAAAGGGAAAGACTCGTGTCCTATTTGTCATTGTATGAAATAAATAAAGAAGGTTTAGAATAGTTTCCTTCCAACTTTTCATCTTAGAGATTGATGTCCTATCTTGATCGGAGCTCCCTGTAAGGGAAGGAATAATGGGAATGTGGGAATGCCTCAGAAAGGGACAGCTGAGCTGTTAGCTGAAGGGGGATCTTTAGCATATGCTAAAAATGTCCTTTCTGGTACATGAGTTCTGTCAGTGGTTCTTTAAGTGCAATGGCTTAGTAGGAATTGATGAAAAATAAAAATAAAAAATAAAAAAAGAAAGACTCTAAACTTGACATTTGATGCCTTTAACAGAAGCTTGAGCATTTATTCACGCAATCTGATTTTAGCAGCAAAATAGACAAAGAAGACTTAATGCTTCTGCTATTTCTGAGGCCTGAGGTAGGAAGAACTAGAAGCTAAGGCGAGAGCCCTGGAGCCCAGGGAAGTAAAAACATCCTGAGCATTGGTTTTCTGTGTGTCCGCCTGAAGGTGACAACGTAATTGTGGTCTTTAATGTTGCATGTCACCTTCTTCAGAAACGTCGGGAGCGAGAGATCCAGCAACAGATGGAAAGTCGGGACGAGGAAACGCTGGAGCTGAAGGAGACCTATAGTTCTCTTCAGCAGGAGGTGGACATAAAGACCAAAAAACTCAAAAAGGTAAAGGGGAAATTATTCCGTGTCTAGTGGGTTAGGAATAAAACTTGGGTGTGAAAGCCAAAGGGACACTGGTGAGTTACGGCTCTGGGTCATGTTGTCTCTTCCAGTTATTTTCCAAGCTGCAAGCTGTGAAGGCAGAGATTCATGATCTCCAAGAAGAGCACATCAAGGAGCGCCAGGAACTGGAACAGACCCAGAATGAACTTACCAGGGAGCTAAAGCTGAAGTAGGTCCCACCGCTTCGTTGCCTGTTACAGAGGTGGTTTCCCTGGGTGGGGAGTGGAGGGACTGCATTGTTTGTGCCTGTGGAACAAGATTTAAATGTGAGAAAGTGAAACCGTTCCTCCTTCTCCGGGGTTGTGTTAAATCAATGGGAGAGGAGCAGTGGAGAAAGTCGTCTGCTAATTATGTTCCTTGTGCATTTCTCATTTTCGTGGTTGCACGTAGGCACCTGATTATTGAAAATTTTATTCCCTTGGAAGAAAAGAATAAGATCATGAACAGATCGTTCTTTGATGAAGAGGAAGACCAGTGGAAACTGCATCCCATAACCCGTCTGGAGTGAGTGTACTTCTGATCTCTTCTGGGGCTGGAATTAGAGGCGGTGAAAAAAAAAGAGAGATTGAATTGGGGATTTAAACTGGCCTTGTAGAGTTTGTAGCTTTTTGCTGCACAATAAAATTTAAAAAAATTATCCTTCTTCGTAGGTTGAATAAAATAGGAATGTACAGTTAGGAGAATTCTTGGAAGATTGGGATTTTTTTCTTCCAGATGTTCATATGTAAAATATATGTAATAGTTCATTCACCATTAAAATAGCAGTAGATTCCTATCGTGCTTCTCTTTTGTTCTAGATAGGGTAGCTCTCATAATAAAACAATTATTATAATGAGAGCTGTGGGTAGATCCTCCCTCCCTACATAGAAAGCTCTCTACAGCAGATTCACAAAGTTGGGTGCATCTGCAGTCTGTAGAGTCAAAGTCAGTGGAAATCCCCCTCTTTGTGGAGGGTGCAGAGGACACGGGAGAACTCCCTCTGCTTGTCTCCGAGCTGTTCCTGCAAATGCTCTCTTTAAACATATTCTTGGGTGGAATTTGCAGATGGTTTAGCTCATAAACTCTAAGATTAGAGTCTTTGGGTTTGGTGTCTATAGACCAAGTATCTATTTTTTTATCTCCAGTAACCAGCAGATGATGAAAAGGCCGGTATCTGCTGTAGGATACAAAAGGCCGCTGAGCCAACACGCCAGGACGTCCATGATGATTCGCCCGGAGGCTCGGTACAGGGTAAGCCCAGATGTGTCGACAACCTTCATGTGTAATTTCAGAGGATTGTTAGTTCTTCTGTGGGACATACATTTTTACAAGCATCCTGCATACATGTATAAAGTACTTTGGAATAAGCTTCCAGAGGGGAAAAGAAATTATTTGTGTGAAAACGTGCCGACCTTGATTCTGCTTTTACTGTCTCAGGCAGAGAACATCGTCTTACTGGAACTCGACATGCCCAGCCGAACGACGAGAGACTACGAAGGCCCAGCCATTGCTCCCAAAGTTCAGGCAGCTCTAGAAGCAGCTCTGCAGGAAGAAGATGAGATACAAGTGGACGCTTCAACCTTTGAGAGCACTTTGAATAAAAAATCAAAACCCAGGTGAGTGGGACTTTGAAGAAGCGGGTTAGCCAACAGGGGAGGCACAAGTGCCATTGCTGCCCGGCAGGTCTTCACTTAAGGTGGGCTTGGCTGTAAAGCAGAGAGGAAGGAGCATGGGACAGAAGAGAAAGCTGAGACTGATTAGAGAATAATTCCACTTAAAATCATCAGCTTTGGGAAGATGGGTTTTGATGAGGTGACGTTGTTGGGGCTTTTTGTTTTTTATTTTTTTTTTCGTTTTTACTTCTTCAGGCCTAAAACTGGAAGGAAATCAGTGGGATCCTCTTCAGCAGGCACCCATAGTTCTCAGCTCTACCCACAGTCCCGAGGGCTGGTTCCAAAGTAAAACCAGCAGTTCCTCTCCTGGTGCGAACAGCCTTTGCCTTCTGAGAGCAGAGACAAGTACAAACCTGCGGAGATCCCTCCTGCCAGGCTCCAGCCCCTTTCCCCTGGAGCTGGCCTCTTTCCTGTTTAACTGACTTGTGCCAGTCCAGGTGCACTGAGCCCCAGGAAGATCCGTGCTTGCAATTCAGCATTTGGCCTCTGTGGGCAACAGATTTTAGTTAGGAAAACAGAAATGCATGAGGTACGTTAAAGTGTATTAGAAGCAACGGGAAGCATGGGGATCACCTTGCGGCATCACCGTCTCTCCTTCTGCACTAGCCCTTCTGCTGCACTGGGCTTTTTTGCTGTTGGGCAATAAGAAGACAGAGTTGCAAGTCATCTCATCAGAACCACCGCTCCACAGTGAGAACCAAAAGAGGCTAAAAAGCAGAGGCTCTGTTCATACTTGACTAGGTGCATCGTTTTTCCTCTTCCTGCTTGAAAGACCGGCGTCATCGTTTGGGGGTCAGAAGTTGGTCTGAGCAGGCAGGGTAGCAGCACCCAGCGTGTGCTCACCACCAGAGAGCTGTAGGGCAAAAAAGGGGTCTTCAAAGCAGCTTGGCACTCTTTAGGAAGGAAACAGAAACTGAAGTCCTTCCCTTGTTTACAGGCATAAGTAAGAGCTTCTCTAAGGTGACCTCCTACAGACCTCGCCCCTACTACCAGCAGGGATCAACTTGTCAAACAGGAATCACCTTGTCAAAGAATCCATCTGCATACCAGCGCCAGCTCCACAGCTTTCTTCCTCTCTCTTGCCTCCTTCTTCACCCCTGGCATTTGAAACCTACGCCCGTACAAAGCCTGTAAATCCTGGGGCAGCGTATGGCCATTTTCTCCTGGCTTCCGCTGCTGGCGGGCAATGTAGCGCTGGCTTGGAGCTGCCTCCGTGGGGGTCCCAGGGCTGGCTCTGCTCTCCCCCGCGAGCTGGGCAGAGGGCAGAGCTCTGTAACGTGGGAGCAGCCTTTTTGAACGCGCTCTTCTCGTAAGCATGGCCCCTGCCCCTGGTGCTTGAGGAAGTTCAGCGTTAGGTACCTTTTGTGCCTCGACTGTTCTGCATTAGGAGCTTTCCCTCTGCGCCTCCCAGCCCGTGCAGAGCCCGCTGGGAGCAAAGGCACGTGTAACTGAGTCTGAGTAATGGAATCTGGTGTCAATTCCAGGGGTTTTACTTTGAAAAGGAGGGAGGAAGAACAACTGCTTTTGACGGTCTCTTTGCAAAGCTGCCCTGTGACTAAAGC